AGTCGATTGAAAGCAATTTCATTGCAAATAATAATTACTTCATATTTTCATAAATTAAAAGAGCTTGTTCATGGTAATCAAGAGTTAGTATAGGTCAGCCACGCCTACTATATACATGTTAACCGATAAGTTTCATACCCTGTTTTGACATGCTCAGAGTACAAAAAATATGCAAATGTGTGCAAATAAATATATTTATGTATATACACTCGATGTATATATCTATAAAAAAAACGGGAGAGCAACCGTAACGGAAATGTAAAAAACATAATAATAAAAAACTAATAAAATTAATGAGATTAAATCGCTTTATAAATGTGCAAAAATGAACGCACAGTCGCGCGTCTGCACGCAATTATAACAAACACAAGCAATTTATGTAAAATGCGATATAAAATCCAAAATGAAATTACCCTTAGACCTCTCTTAGACCATCTTGATACCCTTACAACAGGGTCTTATAATTACCTTGAGAAATGGCTGTTGGTGTATATTCAATTCAGTTATATTTCACCTTCGATTTTGATTAATTTGTAGAAGAAATTAATTGTCAATAGAAATGAGTTAAGTTCAGCACTTGACAAATTGCCTACCTTGAGAAAAAGGTTATTGTCAACATAGAAGCTAGCTTTTGCTGATATACATAAGTAGTAGTAGATTATATATTTTGGGTCATTCAAAATTAAAGCAGATTATCGTAAACCTACAGATAACATTCTTAATCATTCACAAATTGTTGATTATGATTGATTGATATGTTTAATATGCTTCTAATAATCTGATTTTTGTGCTCCAATTGGGCAAACAATTTTTTTTAATCTAAAATATATGAATCAATTTTTGCTTTTGACTTCAGAGACTTCAGAGGTGATAACAAATAAAGCAACTAAAAATAGTTGCACAGAAAAAAGTTATACAATTTATCTGATTGCGAATTCTGTTTGATAAACAGATTGAGTATGCATAGCTTTGAGCTTTTGTCAGTTACTTTATTGTTAATTAGATACTAAACTTTTAGCTGTTATGATATAGATATAATATACAATAGATATTAAAGTTGCTTTGCTCAATATACAAAAATTCACTTTAAAAATTTCTCACCAGCCTAAATGCATTCAAAAATATGTCAGTTGTGCTCTGGGAACGTGAGATAGGGCATCATAAATTCGCCTAGATTAGTGGTAAATGCTGCGCCTATGGCGAAGCAAAGTGAAATGTGACCCGAATCAAATGCAAAATTCATTTGGTATTTACAGTTTGAAGCACAGCCGGAAATCAGGCAGCCATGACGCCATCTTTCAAAATGGCCGCTCGTGCCGATTTCTTTTTTGCTCTCTGCCACCATATTCGCTGCTGCTGTAGTCGCTCTCGTTCTTAGGCCATTTTGTGTGTGTGTGGATGGGTGGGTCTGTGTCTGCCTCTGGTGATTAGCTGTCACGAATTGTGGCGAAAAACAAAAATGAATTATTACCGCGCTGCGTACAAAATGTTGACATAGATTCAAATTATTTGTAACAAAATCAACGAACTGTATCGACACCCACCGCTGCTCCTGCCCCCCTTCCTGGCATCAGCTCCATGCGCCACTTCTTCTGCTGATTAGATTAGCTTGAAAATGTTTTGCCTGAGATGCGCTGGGATGGGCATGCAAAAGAGTTTCGTCTTAAATTGCCCATCCGAGTTGCTCTGCACGTCTTTACTATTTATTATAGCCACAGCAACATTCAGCAGCAGCAACAACAACAACAACCACAACAACAACTGTGCAAATAATTTGTGCAATTAATAAAGTTTTCCACAGAGGAACTATTGCTTGTAGCTCATTTACTCTGAAGGCCATGTCCAAATACAGTTGGCCATAATTTATAAAGAGAATCTGGCCTAGGCCAATGTTATTGTCATCAATACGCCTCGGCTACGGCCTTAGTCACCATAATTATTAGAGCCCGTATCGAGCAATTGGTTTTCCATTTTTTTTTTTTTTTCTTGGATGGCCTTTAAGCAAAGGCGTATGGCTAAATGGGGTATGCTGTTGCTGTGAAGGACGTTAATATAGACAGATGGGAGTACTAAACAGAAAGTATATATATATGCACATTTTATTCTTCAGCCATCTTAGATATATTCCTTATAATACATAATATAAATTTTTTTCCTCTTCTCAAAAATCTCTCTTTAAATGTCAGGGTATTTTCGAGTCGAGCATTGCCGACTGCTCTGTTTGCCTTTCTTTGATTATATTATGAACAATAGGGGCTGTAGTGCTGCTATTGCTTTGGCTTGTTTACTTTTTGGTTCGATTGTTGTTTGGTCCTTGACTTCTGGCTGCTGGTTGCTGCTGCCTTTGTGCGCCATTGACTCATAATCGAGAATTGCTTCCTGCAGGTTGGGATTTCGTTTCCATGCCATTGCCCGGCCGTTCGGCTTTGCCTTTGTTCATGGCTGTGTGTCAACTTGAATTCTGTTAATTTTTGCTAATTTTTGTTTCCCTATTTTAGCCAACAACTTTGCTCGTTAAGCAAAAACCAAACGGCTTAAATGACAACAGCTTCTCACTGCCTTCATTTTTCTGTTTTTTGCTTTTCGCTTTTTAGTAGACGCAAAAAAAAAAATGAAATAGACAAAAGGTAATGTCAACTAAACCCCATCGGCTTGAGCTTCATCAATATCATCTTCAGCCGTCGCTCACTTGTGGCATTAATTTCTGCTGTGTAAGCAGATAAATTGCAAAACGCTTACCGGAAGCTAAGAGTCATCGGCATTAAAATGGATACCGCGCAACGTTTGCACAAGTCAACATTACAGTCAACACCGGAGGTGTCTATTACGGCAAATTTAAACAGTTCATAAATTGAAAAGCCCACGCTTGAGGGACTTCTGCAAATGCCGCATGAATATACGTTATTAATATTTGGCGAGTTTAAATTAAGTTAATTTTAGCTAAAGCCTAATCAAATTTGATGGCCAAATAAGTTATTGACAGAAAGCGGAAACTTCTTAAAGTCCCCAACAAGACTTGAAGTGTCTCGGTCTACAGAAAGTTTTTGTTTTCTATGCAAACATGGCAGGACTCAGTAACTACAAGGTTTCCAGCTGACATTTTATACTATATTTGAGTGACCTTTAAACAATTTGTATATAAGTGGTTAAGTATTGATACGGCTTTGACTTTCTGGCTTGTATTAGCTGGATTATCGCACTAGCTGCAATGCTTGCACCCCGTGGCATAATCAGCTTGCCATCTAATATTTATAATTGGAGCTTGCAGCATTTTGCCTGGCCAACGGTGCGTATTAGTAATATTAAGTGCAATGACAAAGGGAAAAGGGCAGAGTGCAGAGTGGAGGGGGCAGAGGGCAGCTGTCGACTGTCAGCAGTCGTCTAATTACGTCTAATTGCACCCAAGCAGAGCCGCAGGCATCCACACACATTAGCTAATATGCTCCATGTGTTGCCTCGATAAGCTCGCTTAGAGTTTGAGCTCATAATGTGCTGGAATATGGCTAAACGAAAGCCGTATAACGTATTTAAAACACAAATGAATAAGTGTGAGCGTGTGAATAAGTGTGTGATTGTGTGCGTGAGTGTGTTTAGTGTGAAAGTCAATTATGTATTGTGTTGCTGCTGTTTGCGGTGCTTCGCAACCAGATTCCGCTCTAGGCGTGAGCGCCCAACAAGGATATTCAAGCCTTGACTGGCATCCTATACGGCAAGTTACGAACTGCCGTCAAGCCCTTTGAGCTGCCGGAATCTGGAACTCAATATTGTGCAAGCGTCTATGCAAACAATCGACATGCAGCTGTTTGTAATGCCGCAATCGTATCACATTATGGCCGCGTGGCCCCCTCTATCAGCTTTCAGGCGAGATAAGATTAAGTTGCGGTTGCAGCGAATCAATTGGAGGATGTTGGGCAATTAATTCTCAGAAATTTGCACGTGGCATACAGGAGCTATGCCTTTGCCTACTGTTGCAGGTGTTTGATTCTCATTCATGCCATTGAAGGCAGTGTACCTGTCATGCCGATGCCAATAGTTGCCAGTCAATAGTGGAGTCATTAAGTTGGCCAACTCGCTGAGAGCTGGTCTTTGGGTATAGTAGACGAATTCAAGGCATAAAGTCTGGGTTATGAAAGGGTATTTAAGCTACAAGTCCTATTTAAATTTTTTGTTATTTATTGATTTTTTTTTATGTAATTTTTTCTTAGCTCTATTCTTATTATTATTCTTATTTATATTTATTTATTTATATTTATTGAATTGAGATTAATTTTTTCAGTATTTTTTTTCAGTTTTAAAGTTGTTAGCCAGTTACAAATGGAACGCTAAGAGGATTTGTTTACTCCAATCGAAAATATACTAAATATCTTAAGAGTCACGCCTCAAACTCACGTGGAACATTTTAACAGCATATTCTTTGTCAGCATTGTAAAAGCCAAAATTAAATAAAAAATCAAAATAAATTTATTTTTTTTATTCATTAACTTTTTTCAAGAATTCAACAAATTTACCTGAAATAAATTTGTCAAATAAGAAAAAAAAAAAGTTGTATTTGTGTTACTTTAAGTTTACTCAGAGAAAGTTTTGATGGCACCCAAATCATCTGCATTAGCTAGGAGCATAGCAAAGCGTGTCCAAGTGAAGGTAAATGCATGGACGCTGCAGCTGCTGCCCTCACTCATAGTGCTCAACTATGTGCAAGAAGCGATCCAATCATCGTTGCATCTACGCCTAGAGGCCGGGTCGATGGGCTGCATCATTGAGAGCGGTGCTCTAATAGGTGCAATCTACGTGGTGTTTGATATATGCCTGATCCTAGTCGGCGCTGGATTGTTCCTGAGCCGCAGCGCGCAGAGAACGGGCGTCCCATTGCTGATGCTGCATCGCACGTTGCGTTGCATCTTCATCGCGAACTTTTCTCTCGAAGATGCACTAAACTATTTTATAGACGTTGGCTCGCTGCTCCTGTTATGCGCTTTGAGGTCGAAGCAAAAGGCCAAGTTGGATGCCTTCGCCTTTTTCTCACGCATCTGCATGAGCTTCGTTTGCTTGTCCTTGTGCCGTGGAAAGAATGTAGTTTACATAGAACATTCGTCGATTATTGAGGTATTTAAGTAATTGTTTGTTGTTGCTTCTAGGTCATCAGTGGTTGGTTCCCGTTAATTTGCTGCAGTTGTATGCTGATTGGCTTCAACTGCCGGCTTGTGGCGTGTCTGACTGCTTTGGCTGTGATGTGGCAGGCCTCCTGCTTGGTCAGCTGGTCGTTCATATTCGGCTGGAATGATCTGACCATTAGTGTGTCCTTAATATGTTCGCTGTACGGCAAAGTGGCTGGCTTTCTGTTAATGGCATGGCTCGGGGCTGGCAAGTGGTCCCTGGATGCCCGAACTTAGTTGCCACTTCATCAATGCAACAACAACAACAATAGCTTTCAACACGTGCTTCGCTGGCTCAACTGAAGTTGGATTAAGATATAAAAGTCATTAAGCATTACGAGCCAAATGATTATTTTTGTTTCTCTTCTTTTCGGCAAACGATGCTTCGCGCGCAGATTTACATGCAAACATATAGAGTCCGCCCATTGACGCCTTAAAAGTGACTATCCGAATACTCGAACTGACTGCCTGTTATACCCTATAGTCGTTAAACGTGTAGGCAAGGGTATGCTATGGTGGGGCTAAATGGAGGTTAAGATATGCGGAGAACATAAATCCAAAATGATCTGAGACCACTGCTAAGTATGCAGCTTACATTGTAATTTATCGATATATATCGATATTTAGATATTACATTTTTAATATTTCTATGTAAGCAGCTGCTTAATAACACTATATGCTCTCATTTTTTATGAATTTATTCATGTAGTTTGTCTTTGTTTTTTCTTAACTGCTTACTTAAGCTTTAACTCCAAATTTAAGTATTTATTACTTATTTATTAATAAATGTATCAGAAAGTTTACAGGGTATTCGTTTAGCTGCTCAATTTATCGATAAATATCGATTTTTAACTATTTTCTCTTAACATCTGACTTAAGCTTAAACTCCAAATTCAAGTACTTATTTATTTATAAATTGATCACAAAGTTTACAGGGTATTCGTTTAGCTGCTCAAACTCAGGCAGCACATTGCTGTCCTGCTTTTTATCTGCCTCTATCTGTAGTCATTCGGTTTTTATGCCAAGCACCTGGCTCATGATGAGCACTTGAACGGCCTTTGATTCGCTGTCTGTTTTCTTCATTTTGTTTTCATTTGGTCTTTCGTTTCGCTTTCGTTTTGCGTAAATTATTGAAAAGTCTCGAGCTGTAGCAGTCCGGCTGCTTAAGCGGATTTACCTTCCATTCCCCCATTGCCCGCTGGTTCGTATTTTTCGTATTTTTCGTTTTTGTTGCTGTCTTCTCTTTCTTGTCATTTCATGGGCTTGGCTTAAGTAGGAAATGGAACAGGAAAATGGAGCCGGACAATGGCCATGCTGCAATGTGGCGTGTTAAATGCAACAGCATGAGGCACAAGTCAACGGCGCCAGTGGGCGTGGCTTAAGAGGACCCGCACCGGGCCGTTAATGAGTTTTTGGCACAGCGCTTGCATTTAACAGCTGCAGCGCACAGCGCACAGAGCCAACGCTGACCTTCGCTCTTGACTTAAAACCCATTTGCATAAGCGTTGCCGCCGCCACCGCCGCCGTCACCTCTACCAGCACCAGCACCAGCACCGTCTTCACATGAGCACCCGACCGCCAAAGAGGATGTGCTCTCGCTGCTGGCCAGGGCCTGCCGCCATCGTCGTCGCCGTGGCCGTGGCCCAAGTACAACTGCTTTTTTGTTTATCCAACTGACGTGGCTTGTAAGCTGGTCTGGATAGTGTTGCCTTAATTAAAAATTGCCAGCGATTTATTGACCAACGTAAATGCAATTGACAGCGTGATAGCCATATATACATTTAAACAAGCCGAACGGCGAATGGGTAACAGCTTTAACAAGAGTCAATTATAATAAGAAACTGGCGTTGCCAGTGTTGTGAAATTATTAAGAAACTGAATGGCCAGCTTGAGTAACGCAAGACTGAAGATATTCAGTTAACAGTCAGACATAAAGTAAGTAAGCTCAAACTTGAATCAAATTATAATTTGTCATAGTGTTGAAAAGCTATGTAAATGTGTAGTTGATGTCAGATTAAACTTAGGTCAAATTCAATTCAGTGACAATGTTGATAAGCTAAATATAAAAATAAAATTTGTTGTCAATATAGCAGCAAAGCTTGAGATGAAGTGCAATGCAAATATACTGCAGCAGTGTTGGAAAACTATCAAGTATTCGCAATGTTCTTTATGCTAGCCTAAGAAAAATGTTTAGATGTTGACCCACGATAAAGGTTAGTATCTTATTGGCAATATTTTTACTTTCAGTGTTGTAAAATTTCTAAATATAATAAATTTATTTATCCATCTGCATTGTACAACAGTTCTAGTCTGTAAATAAATACTTCAACAATTATCTTAGCCTTTTAAGCTTTTCGAATTGTGCAACACTATTTGCGTAGATTAATCAACAGCTCAAGTGCAGCCGGTGTCATTGTCTCTCGGTTCATATTTTGTTCTTGGCCAAGTGCTATGGTTATTCCTCCGGCCACAGCAGTGCGCGAAGAGGTGCGCCCTTTCGTGCAGCAGCGGATGCGCAAAAAGGGACTTGTCATAAAAGTGCAGCCATGTAATTTTCTAAATGAAAACAGAGAAGCGCACGAAAAAGAAAAGAAAATAGAGAAATAAGAAAAGAAAACGAAGAAAATGTATTAAAATGCAGGCCACCGCAAAACAAACAACAGCCATAACAAAACAACAAAATTTCTAAACAGAACGCAATTTTCGCAAGTTGTATTAAAAATTCGTAAAGGGGAGAAGCGCCAGAAAAAAATAACAAGCGAAAACGAAATGAATATAGGGAAAACAGCAACAACAAAGAAAAGAATAAAAAAAATAAGAATAAATAAAATAGAATGACAAACGGTTCGCTCAACAAGAAATATGCAAATGCAAAAGTGCGATGTCGCCGGCGTAGGCGGATTAGAACGAGCGAAGTATGCGGGCTTGACACGTGGCGTATGAGCAACGACATTGCTTATACATATGCAAATGTGTTTAATTAAAATGGTGCAACACGCCAGCGCCTCTCACGTATGCTTGTGTCTGTGTGTGTGTGTGTACCTGCGTATGCTTAACGGTTAATGCACATAGCAACATTTCGCATTTGCATAAGTAAAGCAAACTAAATACTCGCTGAGACAATGCAAAGCGCTCGGCAGCTCAGCCAAGTCGACCCCGCACAATAAAATTATATTCCCTTACCCGCACACAGCCACGCCTACGCCCACGCCAACGCCAACGCCCACGCCTATGCCCACGCCAACATTGGCACGCTCCCAACCGCCATGGGTTTCCCAGCTGAGCATTTAAATCTATTTACCTGCGTCGTAGGCAGCACACCGACTGAAGCTGCTGCTGCTACTGCTGCTGCTGCTGCTGCTGCTGCTGCTGCTGCTGCTGCTACTGCTGCTGATGCTGCTGGTGCAGATAAGAGTAATCAAATAGTCGTAAAGTTCGAGTGTGTGTATAATTAATTTGGCAACGCCTGCAAAAACAAACCACAAGAATTGAAATTGAGAGCTGACAAAAGTTTTCAACAAACATTAAGTTTCCAAACTATAAGTACTCCCTCGCCCTCGCTCTCTCTCTCTCTCTCTCTCTATATTGCCCGCTTCCACTCCCTTTCACGCTTCGCCACACTATTAGCTCACGTTCCCAAAAGGTTTTTCCTTTCGAAAAGCTGCAGGCATCTGAGACTATGCAATTAGTGAGAAAGGTGTTTTACTCGAGGAAGTAAATACACATACACACACA